AGTAGTTAGAAAAATAATTTCTTACGCTAAAAAATTGCCTACTCATAAATCTCATAAATAAAATATCTTTCAATTTCAATATCAGTACACTTTTTTTATTAATTAAAAGACTGTTCTTATATAAATTTTAAAATAAAATCATATTACAAAGAATTTAATTAAGTTTTAAGTTATTTGTAATTAAATTTTATTGTTTTATTGAATGTTCAAAACCATTTTATTTTTCAACTGATTTCATTAAGGAGATAACATAGTTGTTATTTTGTCCTATGCCTTACTTGTCTTGTCTCCACATGGAATTTTTTTTATTAGTATAAAATTATATTATAATTATATAAAATGATACGTTACTTTAATTATTTTCATTATATTGGAAAAATAAGGTTACCATATTCTTTAAACACTTTCAGATCATATTTTCACTTACACTGGTTGAAGAAGTGTCACTGCGACCATATTAATATTAATGTAGGTGATGTTATTGTCCGATTTCAAGAAAAATAATTTATTGCATCTAAAATTCAAAAGCTAAAGGGTATAACTACAACAAATCAATGTTAAAACTAATAAATCCTTACATAGAAAAACACATTCCATCCAAAAATTTAGAACTCAATTTTCACAAGAATTAACGAATTTCACATCTACTTCAACCATAAAATTCACACATAACAAAGAAATCCTAAATCATAAACACTAAACTCTAAACTCTAACTATACACCAAAATTCTAAACTTTAAACCATAAACTATAACTATAACCCTAAATCCTAAAACCTAAACCCCAAAACCTAAACTCTGAACCATAAACCATAAAGCCTAACCCCTAACCACAACCTTAACCTCAACCATACACATAAACCCTAACCCTCTAACCTTAACCCTAATCCCTAAACCCTAACCTATAAACTATAACCCCTAACTCAAACCCTAAACCCTAAACCTAAAACCTAACCATAAACCTAAACCATAAGCAAAAACCATAACTTTAATCCCTAACCCTAATCCCTAACCCTAAACCCTAACATTAAACACTAACCCTAAACATTAACCCTAAACTTTAAACCCTAATCATACCCTAACCCTAAATAGTAACCCTAACCATAAACCTTAATCTTAACATTAACCCTAACCCTAAATCATAAATTATAAATCATAAACCCTAAACACTAATAGTAAACCCAACCCTTTACTTAGCCCTAACCTAACTTAACATTAACCCTAACCCTAAACCCTAAACACTAACAATCAACATTAACCATAACCCTAACCTTAAACCCTAACCCTAAACCCTAACCATAACCCTAAGTCCTAACACTAAGCCCTAAACCTAAACCCTAACCATACACTCAAACCCTAAACCCTAACCCTAGCTCTAAACCATAAACCCTAAATCTAACCCTAAACATTAACCCTAACCATAAACATTAACCCTTAACCTAAACCATAACTCTAAATCCTATCCCTAAACCATATCCCTAAACCCTAACCATAACCTTAACCCTTAACCTGAAGCCTTAACCCTAAGCTCTAATCATAAACCTTAAATCCTAAACTATAACCTACACCTTAACCCTAAACCCAAACCTTAGGCCCTAACCATAAATATTAACGTTAAACCACAACCTTAAACCCTAACCCTTACCTTAAACACAAAACCTAAACCCTAACCTGAAATCTTAACCCTAAACCCTAAATCTTAAACCTAACCCTAAATCTAAACCTAACCCTAACCCTAAACAACAATCATACTGAATTTGAATAATTAATTTTATTTATGTAAAATTTAAATCTTTTAAAAATACTGAAATTTATGAATAACATAAAATTTAACTAAATTATAATATATATATATATATATATATATATATATATATATATATATATATATATATATATATATATATATATATATATATATCCCATTTAGAAATAAAGTTAGATATTAACCTTCATGTATTTAGGTTCTATTTTTGAGTATCATCTATCAATATTCGAAGAGATTGGAACAAGCAAAAATTTATTTATCATTCTTAGTTAGTTCCAAAATATTTATTAGTTTTTTTTCTCTCTCTTTTAATCTTATCATTTTAAAGTCTGTTAGTTGCATTTTAAAAAATGAAACTTAACCAAAAGCAATCATTATTCTCTAATAAATACTGAAACTATTTTAAAATCTGTTATCTTTCAACCCTTTTAACCCAAACAACATATATTGATAAACCTAGTTAGCCAAACATTCATTCTGAGGCAATTAAGCAAATTACCATATATTATATTTTATTCCTTTTTGGCCTCTGTCTTCAGAAATTATCTACAAGATTTTTTTTCAATTAATTTATTTTCAGAAAAATAATTAATTTAACTGTGTCTTGAATTGATTCTTTTTCCCTTGAACTTTTACCTAATTAATTGATTTAAAATGATAATAATGATTAAATGATTTGTGTCTTCAATCTAATTAACAAGAGATACAGATAAACTATTCCATTAACTTTTAGCATCTATTAAGTTTTGAGTAAAAAAAACGATTAATTACAAATTTGTCTATTATGTGAAATTTTGATACATTAAGCTTTATTAATTATCCATTTTTTATTATGTAATTATTATATACGGAATATTATCTGTATCTAGTAATTTATTTCCTTCTCTTTTTCACTTGATTTTCTTCACCAATTAATCAGATTTAAAAGGATAATAATGATTACATAATTTGTGTTTCAATCTAACAAGAGATACAGCTAATTATTTAATTAACTTTTAGTATCTGTTAAGTTTTGATAAAGCTTTATCAATCAGAAATTTGTCTACAAGGTGCAAGTTTGAATATCAAGCTTTATAAAATATTTTTTTTTTACTAATTTCGATTATGTAATTATTTATTATTCTTTAAAGCCACTTCCTCTCTCCTACTTATTTTTTGAACACGTTTTAATCAATTGTTTTTCAAGGAATAAACTTATAAAATTTTTTCAAGGAATAAACTTATAAATTTTTTAAGAGAAAATAATTATGTTAAAAAATTGTGATTAATATCATTTGATAATGAAAAAAGAAATTTTTGGTTAAATTTGACATTTAATAATAATAAATTAGATTTTTTGTGTCACAAAAAGATTAGCTTATTACAAATGTCATTATATTGACGATGTTGCTTGCGTAATATGTCATCATAACACTTAAAAATTTATATATAGTATTAGACATAACTTCAAAAAGTATTTTATTGGTAGTAGATATAATAATTTAAAAATATTTCATTGTGATTAAGATTATAGTATATGTTTAGATTTTACTTAGAAAGATTAGTTGTTTAGCTTAATAAGAGTTAAAAAGACAATTTAGACTAATATGTATTCCAATTAGTTATAAAAAGAAAGATGTAAAACACAGTGTGAAAAAAATAAAGATGATTTTAAGTTGTCAATTGAACTCTAAACAAACATTGTTTACCAATTTCTATATAAATGACGTCATTAATTAATTATAATCTTAATCTGAAATGCAATTTTCATCTTTATATGTAAAGTTTAATTAATCATTATATGTAAAGTTTATCCAAAATATTCTTTACGCGTTTTCTTAAATGAATATTAATTATATTCTTTAAAAAGTTATTATTTTTATCATACTTATTTATGAATTTATTCTTTAAAATAATAAGGAATGTTTTTTTATGTTTTTGTGGGAATAAAAAGGATTAGTTTCACTACATAACCAACTATAACTAATCAAAATTAAATAAAAGTTTATAACTGGTGAAATTTAATATGGAAAAAATATAAACACTCGTGAACAATATTAATTATATTAAAAAAATTACATTAGGTGAGTTTGGAAAATAGATAAGAGAGTGAAAAGGAAAACCCTTTATTAAACAAGATGATATCATTGGTAAAGTTTAATATTTACAAAAAGATACAATTGCATGTTTAGAAAAAATTTAATATCTACGAAAAAAGTAATATTATATATATATATCTATATATATATATATATATATATTGGTTCAATTACGTTTTTGATCTTTATATTTAGAAGTTGGTGTCTTATCAGGATCTACTTTTAAAAATATCTCTATTACATTTCTATGTGATATAATTATATCAATCAAGTTTTAAATTAAAATAAACAAAATTAAATGTTTGATGATGTGATAAAAAAAATTTGCATATATATTTTTTATGGGAACAAAAAGGATACAAATACAAAAAAAGAAATTATATATTTTTTTTGTGGGAAGAAAAAGATTGCATCCTAGTAAGTTCAGAAAATAAATAATGAGTGGAATTTTCTTTAGTAAAGAATCATAAATATTTAGATAATCAAAAGAAAGTAAAGATGAATGATTAACAAAACTGTGTAAACTTCCACAAAATAAAAATAATTTAATTGATTAAGAGTATTTAGAAAAACAGCTAATCCGACAAAGTATCATACTATCACAAAACGATTTTCCTTTTTTTTTTAAGATAAGGTTTGATGAATATTCACAGTATGTCTTCAAATTCGGAGACACCATATAATTTAAAAAGAAGGCATATTTTTAATCTTTTAAAATCTTCAAACTACATTATTTATATAAATAATATCATCCAAATAAAATAATAAATTAAAACAATTTTCTGAAAAATAGCTTTCCTTCTAGCCTTTTTGAAAATCTATGGAAGATCTTGTTCATGTGCTTGCACAGACTCTTGTACAAGATTAAATATTCAGACATTTTATCAAATAAGGAAAGATAAGATCAAAAAAATGATAAATTTGTAAAAAAAAAAAAGTAATAACATAATATGAAATGAATACATAAACAAAAAAAAAAGGATAATTGTGCAATGCACTCTTGCTTGTAACAGTGCAGTTTTAGCACTTGCTCTGTTCAAGTGTCTTAACTACAGAATCCTTGGTGCCTATAAATACAGGAAATGAAAACGAAGAGGGACTCATTCCTCAGTTGCTTTTGTTTGTTTGCTTTGCACTCACAATCCCATAAAGGCAATGAAAGTGACACAGATTCTGTTGGTTCTTGTTTGGTTCTTCTGCATTTATGCCTCTACTTCGTTTTCCGCAAATGTCACTTACGACCATAGAGCATTGGTCATTGATGGAAAGCGCCGAGTCTTGGTATCTGGTTCTATACATTACCCTCGTAGCACTCCAGAGGTTCTCTTCATTACCCTCTTTCTGTGTCTCTGTAATGTTTCATGTACACTATTTTTTCCTTTGTTTTTGAAGTTGGAGTCAAAAGGGGTGGTGTTTTTTTGTTTCAGATGTGGCCAGACATCATTCAAAAGTCCAAAGATGGAGGACTTGATGTGATTGAGACTTACGTTTTCTGGAACTTACACGAACCAGTTCAAGGCCAGGTCCTCTTCTTTCTAGTTCTGTTAACGTTATTATTACTATTACCATTCTTGTATAGTTTCTGTTGTTCACTGCTTTTTGCATTGCATTGTGTTCATTTTTCAAACATGCTCAGTAATCAAAACCGAAAATAAGTATATGCAGCTTAGGAAAGTAAATGATCACTGCTTCACATATTTTTCTGAGTTAATAAGAACAATGAGACAAAGGGTATTTCTTAATGTGTCAATCAGAAGCTTAAATTTGTGAAGAAATCAATGATGGAATGTGTGCTTTGGCTTGGCAGTACAATTTTGAAGGTAGGGCAGATTTGGTTAAATTTGTGAAGACAGTAGCAGCAGCAGGTCTATATGTGCACCTCCGGATTGGTCCATACGCATGTGCTGAATGGAACTACGGGTAAAATATGATCTTTATAAGTATTTTTTTACAAGGAAGTTCATATCTGATCATGGCCTTTAGCTTTCTTGACCAGTGGTTTCCCTCTTTGGCTACATTTTATTCCGGGAATTCAGTTCCGAACTGATAACAAACCATTCGAGGTTATTATTCCCTTTCTTTCTCCATATCTCATCTTGTTGCATCTGCTTCCTTCTATCACGTGAAATTGAATTGTGTTCAGGCAGAAATGCAGCGGTTCACTGCTAAGATCGTGGATATGATGAAGAAAGAGAACCTCTATGCATCACAGGGAGGACCAATTATTTTGTCTCAGGTTTTTCTTAAACTTCATTAAATACATGTCTATTTTCTTTTAGAAGAAATCACGGCATCCACTGGTGGATGAGTAGTGTAGACAGACATTCTCGAATTCTGAATGGCCTACTGCATACTTTTAAATATGAAAAAGTTATGTAATACTTAGTATGTAATGCCAGGTCGAAAATGAATATGGAAACATTGATGCGGCCTATGGTTCTGCTGCTAAATCCTACATCAAATGGGCAGCATCAATGGCAACATCTTTTGATACAGGGGTTCCTTGGGTAATGTGCCAACAGGATGATGCTCCTGACCCAATTGTAAGTTTTCTTCTTTTACTAAATAAACTGTTGTGGTTTACATTTTGCTATATTATCTATTTTCCTGATTCCTGGATAAAGAAGTCTTACTATGCTAATGTCTACACTTATTCCAAATTTGTAATCTTAAAAACTCTCAGATCAACACGTGCAATGGATTTTACTGTGATCAATTCAAACCAAACTCTCTCTCAAAACCAAAAATGTGGACTGAGAACTGGAGTGGATGGTTAGTGTCCTTTTCTATATAAACCGTTTAATTATTTGAATGTCATACTAAAAATATGATCTGATTGATTGTGCATCTCTTTTCTCATTGAACTCTATTTTTATTTTTGTCAAACATTTTGAATTCTGTGAAACTGTAGGTTTCTTTCATTTGGTGGTGCTGTGCCTTACAGACCAGTGGAAGATCTTGCTTTTGCTGTGGCGCGCTTTTACCAGCTAGGTGGAACTTTTCAGAATTACTATATGGTAATGCAATCTTACATGTTGTTTAAGGATTTAAGCTATTCAAGATAGGAAAAGAGCTGATGCCACAACTTTTTCTGCTGCCTGCTCGGAAACAGTACCATGGAGGGACTAATTTTGGCCGAAGTGCTGGTGGACCTTTCATTTCTACTAGTTATGATTATGATGCTCCAATTGATGAGTATGGTATGGAGTCTTTCAACCTTTATATCTCATTAATTGTCACATTCTCATTTTATATGTAATGACAAAGCTCAAAATGTGATGCTATTCTTTTAAAAATATCTGAACTGCATGATGCAGGAACTATTAGACAGCCTAAGTGGGGTCACCTTAAAGACTTGCATAAGGCCATTAAACTTTGTGAAGAAGCACTGACAGCTACTGATCCAACGATTACATCTCTTGGACCAAATATAGAGGTAATAAGTGGTCCTTTCAAATAAGTGGGCTCTTCTGGGTGAATACTTGTTTTACTAGTTTTATCAAGATTCAGTCTCTTCTCTTTAAATAATGTACCATTTAATGAAGCATCCTTTAGCATAAATGTTGGTTAAAGGATCATGAATTTCAAACTAAGATTTAGAGTCAATTATCCCAATGGCGTAGACACTTCAGTCACATGAACCGTATAATTAAACACAGGCTGCAGTTTACAAGACAGGATCTGCCTGTGCTGCCTTCCTTGCCAACAACGATGACACATCTGATGCAAATGTGACCTTCAATGGAAATTCATATGACCTTCCCGCGTGGTCTGTCAGCATCTTACCAGACTGCAGGAATGTAGTGCTTAATACTGCAAAGGTTTGGCTCATCAGCTTTGAGATTTAAATAGATAGTTCAATTGAATGAAGCTACTTTCAGGATGCATGTGGTGAAACTATCTACAGTTTAGATCTTTTCTTTCTTTCCTATTACAAGAAGTGTCATAACCTATAGTTGTTTATGATGTGATAGATTAGTTCTGTATCTACAATTTCAAGCTTCACAACTGAACCTTTAAAAGAAGAGATTGGTTCTTCGGATGATTCTTGCTCAGGATGGAGTTGGATTAGTGAACCTGTTGGCATTTCAAAGGCTGATTCATTCTCAAAATTTGGGCTACTGGAGCAAGTAAACACAACTGGTGATAGAAGTGATTACTTGTGGTACTCATTAAGGTAAGTATACCTTCTAGTTGGTAGAGCTTTCTTCTGATGTACAATTCTCTGCCCCATAGTGATACTTTTCATGGTTTTTTTCTGCAGCATCGATCTTGATGCTGTTACTCAAACTGTCCTTCACATTGAATCCCTTGGTCATGCTCTTCATGCTTTCATAAATGGGAAGCTTGCAGGTATATAAAATTTAAAGCAATGACATGATGATATGTGTCCTTGTGAGTTCAGTATTTTGGATGCCTCTATACATTCTTGTTTAAATTCCTTGGTAGTATTGTAGGGCCTGGCAAAGAAGCATTTCTCTCACCCCACCCCACCCCACCCTTCTTAAACTCAATGCTACTTTATCAGAAAATGCTGCAAAATGAGATCACACTATGTCTAGGTTGGAAAACACTGTGTAGCATGTTGTCTTGTGTTCTTCATCTTATATCACCCATGTCATCCAACACTTCATTCTCTTCTTTTTCTTTAACTGTAAAACTTATGATACAAAAATTGATATGAGACACATTGTCCCCAAATATTAGTAGCCCTTTAAAAATAAATCCATGGTCGATTAAGATCAATTGTTCATAGCCTGTTTCTTCCTAAAATGTTCAGTTCTTTATACGGAATAACTCATCCTTCACCAATAACGATACTTATCTCTGACATTATCGAGAACTTTTTCAGGCAGTGGAACGGGAAACAAAGTCAAAGTAGACATCCCCGTCCCACTAGTGGCTGGGAAGAACACAATTGATTTACTGAGTTTAACTGTTGGGCTCAAGGTTTGACTTTTCTTGTAATATACATTGGCGTCTTAATTCATCCCCACAGCATTTCACTTTATACCAAAACCAGTTCTCCTCACCACATCAACTAATGTAATCCTTACGTGCATCAGAACTACGGAGCATTTTTTGACACAGCGGGTGCAGGAATCACTGGCCCTGTGATACTGAAAAGTTTGGCCAATGGTAGCTCTCTTGATCTGTCCTCCCAGAATTGGACATATCAGGTTAGTCTCAGGCTCTCAAGCGTAACCAAAGCCAGCTTTTAGTTATCATTTTCAGGTTCTGATGAAGGTAAAATACACTGTTTATAATTTTGTGAATTCAGATAGGTCTTAAAGGTGAAGATTTGGGGCCATCTAGTGGCAGTTCTGGCCAGTGGAATTCACAATCTACTTTACCGACAAACCAAACATTGATTTGGTACAAGGTAATCTTGATCAGAATATGGAATCCATTGAAACTAATTATCCTCTTATCGTTATAACTGCATAAGTAGACAAAGTCACTTTTACTAAACTGTGTGTATCTGATGTCTTAGCAATCATACACTTCATATAAAATTAAGGGAATGCTACTTTATGGAAAATTATTTTTGCTGTTAACTAATTAATGGAAATGCACGTTGTATCAGACAAACTTTGCTTCCCCCTCTGGTAGTAATCCAGTTGCAATTAACTTGACGGGGATGGGAAAAGGTGAGGCTTGGGTGAATGGACAGAGCATTGGGAGATACTGGCCTACAAATGCTTCTCCAAATGATGGTTGTACTAATTCCTGCAATTATAGAGGAGCCTATCAAGCATCCAAATGTCTCAAGAACTGTGGAAAGCCATCACAAACATTGTAAGTGCTACATATTCTGCATGAGAGAAGATGAAACGTGAAGTAACTTGAAATCATGCTAGATACTTATTTAGTAACTAATCCTGCAGATACCATGTACCACGATCATGGTTACAACCTGAAAGCAACACACTTGTTTTGTTTGAGGAAATTGGAGGCAACCCTGAGCAAATCACTTTTGCTACAAAACAGATTGCAAGTGTGTGTTCTCATGTATCTGAATCTCACCCTCCTCATGTAGACTTGTGGAATTCAGATGCAGAATCAGGAAGAACAGTAGGGCCTGTACTGTTACTGGAATGCCCTTATCCTAATCAGGTGATCTCCTCCATTAAATTTGCAAGTTTTGGAACACCTCAAGGGACTTGTGGAAACTTTAAACATGGAAACTGCAGTAGCAATAAGGCTCTATCCGTTGTGCAGAAGGTGTTATCCTTGCCTTTTCTTTAAATAAGAAGTTCATACATGTCTTTTGTGTAGCTAATTTATTTATTTTTCATTCGGATTATACTTACTCTAAAGAGCATCTTTTAACAGGGCTGCATTGGATCAAGCAGTTGTAGAATTGAACTATCAATTAATACGTTCGGAGATCCATGTAAAGGAGTGGCAAAGAGTTTAGCTGTTGAAGCTTCTTGTGCATAGACATGATGCTTCAAGCCCACTTATTAGTCTGTATTTGGCTTAATAACACTCTGCACACTCTCACAGGTCTCGTAGACTCATGGTTAGAAATTATTCTTCATTATTTAAATGTTAAATGGCTTTGTGGTAGTGAACTGAGGAAAAAATGTCAAACAAAACAGTGTCTTTATACTTTTTGAAAGAGGAAAGTCTTCAATTATAAATGGTGTGTTAAGTGATAGTCGTCTTTTTTACTCTAAAGGAAGGTTTCTTATACCCACTAGACAAGAAATTGTTCTCATACGTATAAGGGTGAGAAAGACCAACAATGAACTATTTCTCTAAAATAAAATTCATTGTATTTGTAGTACATGTAACCACCATTTCATTTAATCGCGGGGCAACATATTATAGCCATTGATTGTCTCTCGATACATCTCCTAGCTATTAACCAAAGTTATGGAATGTTAATAATTCAGTCAGGAAACTTTTATCATAATTATTTATAATAATTATTGTTTGGACCTCAAGTAAGTTAAGATAATATCATCATCACATTCGAAATATGATATGCTTTAGAGCTTAGAACTTCATTATAAATTTTCACTTAAAACACCCTTCAAAAGATTAAAAGAATTTAGAATCGAGGTAAAACTATTGAATATAACAAGTCTCTAGAGTAACGAGGGTGTCAATTATCTATGTCTCTTAAAATAATATCATTAGGATCAATCATCGTATTTGAGTTATTATCTATTTTGGAGAGCTCCAAAGTAATCATGCATACTATACTATATAACTCAGTTAGTCAAGGATCGGGCAGTCGACTATCTAACAAATTATCGACTGGTCCGGAACTGTCAATAATTGATAATTAATCTGAGTAATAATAACTATTAATGGACAGTTAATGAGAATAATAGTCATTGATTGAAAATTAATATGAATAATGAAAGTCATAATTAATGGGTCAGACATACTTATAAATATTTCTCTGAGGAGGTCAGATAATTAATTCTAATTACTCATCTTTCTTATAGAATTATTGAGTAAAATTGACTTCGAGCGTCGAAGTGTGCTTTGATAGATACTCACCCACTCGACTTGGATAGGAAGGAGAGAGAACAAACAACATAACCTGCATGATGATGGAAGATCATTGGACAACTTTGAGTGCTTTGAGTAAGAGATTTCAACTCATACCCGAAACACATACTAATAGAAACAATCATGATGAAGAGAAATGAGAAAACATAAATTCCTAATAGGTAACACCTTCCAACATAGATTGAATTATAAGTTTTTCATACTAACACAAATAAAACGTTTCATGTCTTCAATGATCAACCTCCACTTTTGAAGGAGGACATCGACCAAATAAGAGAACAAAGGGCAATATTTCTCCTCCAACTTATAGAATAGTTTAGGTTATTTTCTCGTTTAACTAATTAGACCTCCTTTTTGCTTGAAAAAATTATTTAAGTTTCCTATTTTCAAAATTAATTAAACACTCATGGGAATTATAGAAAGTTTGTAATTTTTTTCATTTAAAAAAGTTGTAATTAAATGAGCCAGTGAGTCAACCCGTTTATCCACCAACTCGTGGTGAGTCAGACCCAGTTCGAATTTTTCTGGCTCGTAATAAATGAGCCGGGTTGAGTTGGTTCACTAAGTGATCAATCCGTGGTGGGCCGAATTGAGTCGGGCCAGGTGGCCCATTTTGACGGCACTAAATTTTTCTTTTGTAATTTAGGTTTTGGTTTAAGCCACAACCAAACGAATTTTGAAATAAAAAATGTAGAAAATTACAGGGTGTTGCTCCTTCCACCACCACACCCTTCTCTCTCCACCTCCCTTTTACTATTTTGTCCCTCATTAAAATTTTATTTTTAGGGTTATTATTTTTTAATTTTACCCATTCACAACCTATTTCATTAAATAACCTATTCTAGTCCCCTACATGAGTAAAATACTTTTATTTCATTTTAACATTATATTTCTTCCTCTTTCTTTCTTCATTGTGAGATACTACAAGTTGCAAAGATTGGTGGTGGTGGAAAGAATTATCAAGCAGTCTCTCTCTCGTGGTGTAGTGCGTGGAGTGGTGCAGTGCGTGGAGTGCTTCCTCGTATTCGAATAAACCTTGAAATAAAACCCTAAAATAAAAAATGTTACCTTTAAACGGAGGTGACATCCTTCAACGGATGTCAACATCCTTCAACGGATGTCAACATCCTTCAACGGATGTCAACATCCGTTTAAGGAAAAACGGATGTCGACATCTGTTTTATCCGTTTTTCCTTAAACGGATGTTGACATCCGTTGAAGATGTCACCTCCTGTTTAAAGGTTACGTTTTTTATTTTAGAGTTTGTTTTATTAGGGGACATCCGTTGATGTATACTTCCTCACGCTGGTTGATGTATACTTCCTCACGCTGGTTGATGCTCTAGACGTTCCTCGATGTTCCTCCACACCACGGCGGCGACGCTCCTTCACACCACGGCGGCGACGCTCCTTCACACCACGGCGACAATGGAAGCTTTCAAACAAAAAAAAAACTGGGAAGAAAAAGGAATGGAAGTGCGGGAGGTGGGGAGGTAAAACGAAAATGGGGAAAGGGGAAAGGGGAAGAGAGTTCCGTGAGTGGGTGCTGGAAAAGTAAAATTAGGGTTTCAAATTATTTAAAATAGGGTAAAAGTAAAAACCTTTTTAACTTAAGGATATAATTGTATTTAAAATAATGTGGAGAGGTGGAGGAAGTATAGGATGGTGGTGGAGGGAGCAACACCCAAAATTACATCAGACGCTCCAGGGTCCAACATAAATTTTGGACGCTTTTTTCCCTCTTTTAAACCATTTATTTGCGTATAGTGCATTAGTATCGAACGTAAATATGAAATTTTTACGTCAAGGTGTACGTTATACCTAATATAAAAGGTCAAAAATATGCTATGTAAAAAGTCTTTTGCTGTGATAGTGTGTCGGGACTAAATAGTGGTTGAATACTAATCTACACTTCTTGCTTTATACATACACTAAGCCTTTAATGTTCCATAATTCTGAACCAAGATAATTCCTTAATACCGCATACTCACTTAGCGGAATTTGGTTGCAGTTTGCATCACTCTTTGGAATAAATCCGCTCAGTGCTCGCTCAGCGGATCTCTCCGGCGCTACTAGCCCCTTTCTGCTTAACGGATTAGCTGTCTTGGATTTTTCTACTGCACTCAAATATGTAAAACAGAAACCATAAATCTCAAGTAACTTCTCTTAAATGCAAGTATATCTAAGTTTCAGCAATAATAGGAGTTCTTTTTACATAAAGGTATTCAACTTTACATGAGCTAAGTGTCTAAATCAAGTATACGAACATGCCCTTTTTGACACTAATCAATGTTTCATGTGCGAGAGTTTATATGTAACATATAAGAAACATACAATGGATTCAAAAGATTATGTACTACAATTATGATTGGAAATGCATGATATACACCTAATATTATGCAAATTGTTCGACCTGCTCATGATGATGAGAGACATGGAAAATAACTGACATTGATTTTTCTGTTTAATCAACCAGTCTTTTCGCCCAACCTTTACACGAAAAAGAAAAAACTTCTACTGTTTGATTACATGGTCTCAGCGAAAAAACAATACTAATCACAAAATCAATTGATTCCAATGACAGATTGAAATGGCTATCAATCATGAAAGTGCATTGCTCCAAGCTTAATAAATGGGTATATCATCATTGATGCAACACCTCAATATCCTTTGCAGCTTACAACGGAGTGTATGCTCAGAAATCACAATTTAAGGTTTCAAAAACAAAGCCTTTCACCTACCTATCATTGTCTACAACTTCCAAACTTTCCCTATAAAACCCATCCCCACCATATCAAGAATGCATCAACTACTCATTACAATTACAATTCCTATCATTAACACTCCTTTCCAGTATCATCTCTAATTTCTAAACCATCATTTAACAAAACCAAAATGATGGAAAAGCAATGTGTCTTTTCCTTCTCACTAGCATTGCTACTTTCATTTTTGTATTTCACCAACACTTTAGCCCAATTATCACCAGCTTCTGCCCCTCTTAAACCAGTTCAAGCGACTCCTACCCCACCAGCCGAGACTCCTAAACAGCCATTGGTTCCCTCATTGCCACAGTCACCAAGTGATGCCACTCCTGACACTCCAGCTGTTGACATTGTTGGAATCCTGAGGCAGGCCAAGTCATTCAACATCCTTATCCGTCTCATGAAAACCACCCAATTGATCAACCAACTCAATGCACAGCTCCTCACCACTAAGTCAGGTGGCATCACCATTCTTGCACCCGATGACAGTTCCTTCTCTCAACTCAAAGCAGGCTTCCTCAACTCTCTTTCTGATGGCCAAAAGCTCGAGCTCTAACTTTGATACTCTAACCAACCCTGTGAGAACGCTTGCAGGAGCTAAACCTGGAAAAGTGGAACTGAATGTGATAAGTTACGGAGGCAGTGTGAACATCTCAACGGGTGAGGTTAACACCACCATCACTGGCATTGTATATACGGATAAGCACCTTGCTATTTATAAGGTAGGGAAGGTGCTTCTTCCTATGGACTTCTTTGTTGTTGTTAAAGCACCTGCAAAGGCACCTTCTTTGGCACCAGAATCTTCGGCAAAGGCTCCTAAAGCGGATAAAGAGAAGTCACTATCTCCGGATTCCTCAGAATCATCTGAGATTAATTCCACCAATGATATCTCTGGCACTGTGAAGATCAATGTGTATGAAAAGTGGCTGTCACTTGTCCTTGGACCAATTCTCCTTATGATATTGTCATCATAAACTGAAATTGGTTTCATTGAATTTACCAACAGTATATATCTGATGTTCAAGAATGAAATGTGTTGCGTGATTGCGAGAAAGGAGTTGAATATTGTGAGTCCAGAGCGAAATTCGAATACTGTAGCGGTGAATTTATCAGAGTGCCTGTTTTTTCCTCCATAAGTTAATTTAAGTGTTGTGTTTTGACTTAAGGTTTCCTCAATATAGTTTACAAGCTTTCTAATAACCTCTATTTACGGTGGCAGCCACATGAGCATGAGCACCACCGGTGCCGTCAATGCCACCATTACAGGCACCAACAAGCTTGCTATTTGT